TCCGAAGGAAGGAAGTCCCATGTTCTGTGCATAGTCGGCAACAAAGCACAAAGTCCTCTCGCTTGGACTGTTGTCCTTTGTGTTCATGGCCAATGCTTTCTTCTGCTGGAACAGTTCCCTTTGGTCGTTGTACATGGTGATGTGATGCTTGATCTTCGCCAATAGTTCTTCTTGCTCTTTGAGCAATTGAGTGCGCTCTGTCTTTGATGCCTCATCTTTCCTCTTCGCGATTTCCTGTTGCTCGTTGCTGTTGGCTTGTTGTTCTTGCTCTGCGTCCTCATCGTCATCTTCATCTCCAGCGAGAACCATCGAATCAATAACAGCTTCTCTCTGTTCCTTGGCTTGAAGTCTGTTGATGACAAACTTGTGCCTGTTGGCATGCTTGAAGCATTCATTGCAAACGTCTTCTCTAGGGCGACACACTACGATGTGCTTGTAGTGCTTCTTCCAATGCGCATGGAACTTGGCCCAACTGCAAACAGGTGTCTGTTCCATGCCAGGAATAGGAATGTTGCATGAGATCGCTCCTTTGGCATCTACAGAATACTGATAGCCATTCTCTCGCACATAACGTCCGAACAGTTGCCGCTTGCTGTGACAGGAAGGAAGCTCTAACAGTTCCTCATCGTGGTCGCGCAAGGACTGATGCACCGTTTGCCCAACCAACTCTCTGACAAAAAGAGTAGCCCGTGGACAGGCAAGCTGTTTCATCTCCTCGAAGAACTCATTGAATGGAATGTCGACAGCTTCCTTGCTCCTGTAAGTCTTTCCATCATTGCCGTGTCCAATAGTCTTCTTTCCATCAGCGATTTGCTCGCAAGTGTTCCACTTGTCCCATCCAAAACCAATCATTCTGGACAAAGTGTCCCGACAGCATGTAACCCGCTTGATCAATCCTGGCAAGAGGAAGCATCTCCGCTGTTCCTGGGCACTGTAAAGGTGTTTGTGCTTCATTGTCTTGCGTGTGTACTTGATCCATTCCAGAACAAAAGACATCTGCCCATTCCGGTCCATGAGCCCAAATTGGAACAGCGAATTCGCCAGTACAAGGAAATAGTAACTCCCTGGCTCTGGGATGTCCTTGCAGCAGGTGCACGCCTTATCTCTTCCTTGGTTCTTGATTGAGACGCAATTGTCTAGAGCTCGGTACCCTGCAAGCCATTGTCGGATTCTTCTTTCAGTGCTTCCACGTTGGGCGGATTCTTGCTCTTTCCTCCTCCCACAAGCTTGTTTCGAATGGCGGGAGAGTGGATCTTCCTCACAGGGCAGATGGTAATGCTATTCCTAGGTGTAGCGGGGGTGGTTGAAGGCTCTGTCATGGTCTCTATTGGTTCATTTCCACCATCTTTGTTTGACTTGAATAGGAAACGAAAGAAGGAAAATAGGAAAATAGCGAGTAGTGTGGTGGGAGTTACTGTGGGAGTTGGCAATGCCGCACAATTAACTGAAAAGCGACGAGAGCATTATATCTGTCGGTTAGCCCCTTCTCAGTAACTAGACGTCGGACGGGTATGTTCAATACATCGCTGGATAGGTATATATGTTTCGAAGACGTTCCGCGAATAAAAAGATTTTCCACCACTTCACTTTTTGACCGACGACGGACGGACATGCGCGGAAAATTGTCTGATCAGCCTTACATGTACATGAAGTTACGTTTTCTTTGGATTCAAGCTACTCTGGCGAAAATGTTGAGAATTTTGAAAAAGGTGATAATTTGCTTGGAGCACCCGGGAATCACCAGGTCACCACACTTTTGAAATTATCTGCTTGTTCCTGCTGCATCACATCCTCATTATCAAACACACCACAATGGCTGTCAACGATACCCTAGCAGTTTAAGCAATAGAGCCACCCTAGCAACACTTTGAGATGGGGAATACATAATTTAGATGTGCCGGTCGCAGTCGTGGTAGTGGCTTGGCCATTTGGCGGCCATGGAAGTAACGAATGAGTAGAAAAGTGGGGAACTCCATTTTGAATTTTCTATTGGCACCACCAGACTCCAGCTGATCTTAGATCCCAATTCTGGGCGAACCAAGCCCAACCATAGCAGTAATATCTACATCTATGTGTCCAAGGAAGTTTGGCGAAGTAGTGCTGGACTAATGCCATCGTCGAGGACTAAAAAGGAGCCAGCCGAAAGATGCGTCGTCGAACGGCTGCTGCTGTCGCTGTTACAGTACATCTAATACGTCAAATGGAATGGAAGAAGAGTCGACCAGTGTTATTGCTGTTATCAATTGTATCCACTGGTGGTACCGTACGCTAGAGTCGAGTGACATTCGTCATGCTTGTGAGAACTTGGGAATAATTGGAAGAAAAATGAAGCATCTAGTTTGACATAAGATAATGCCTTCCACATGGGTGTCATCACTACAGCCAGCACATGGCTGCGACAAGCAAAGACTGTAGACAACTCTAGATAGTTAGTTTGGTTGTGTAGTTGCCATATTGAGTTCATCCTGTAGTCATCCTGCAGTGCCTTCACAACATCAATTTGTGATGCTTTGGGGCAAAAGATGATGGATTGGTAGTACATTTGTACGTACCGATAAGGGTATGGTTAGGAACTTGAGAATTCTCAACTTAATCGCCACAGTAGCAAGATTCCAGAACCCAATTCTTTTTGTTTTGGTTTGGGATCGCCCCATACGGGTACCGGTTCTTCCGCTGGTACGGTACCGTGCTGTCAGTCTAGCTGCCCGGCCAGAACAAGTCAGGAGCGCATGTACTTAGTACTAATACTTGCTTACTCGCGTACACTGTGGCACTATGCTCTATTGTCTTCTTATAGGACTTTTGGACTCATCTGTCTTCCAACTTCCAGCTGCCGTCTTCCATGAAGTGAAACGGTACTGTTTGCATTATGTTGCCGTGTTGCCGTGTCTGCCTCTTCCCCTTTTAAAAGACAGAAACCGGAAGCTACTGGAGCAGAGAAACTGTTGTTCGGTTGATGAGCGGGATCTGCTGGGATGAAGTACGCTGTAGTAAGCATCTAAGCCTTGGATTCGTTGTCTCAACTTGTAACAATGCTGGAATTGCCAGTTCGCCATTCTGCCAGCTTTCTCTGATGTAGTCTACCTTCTATCTTCTACAACGCGTTTGACAAGCCAGGCTTCCAAGTAAGATTGCTTTGGGGGAAAATGAAAGGAAAGCACTGATAATACTTTAATACTGGTAAAAGGCGACGTGGAGGTGAAAGGAAAATGGTCTTTCAATCGCTCGCTCTATAACCATCGGTTTTGGACTTTTCGTTGCCAGAGCGGCCGCCTGTTGTTGATGATCACCCGATAGTTTGGAGCTACGTAATTCCTATTGCAGCAGGCTCACACTTTCCCACCGCGACTCTCTGACAATAGATTGGATACCAGGCCACCGGCTAGCTAGATACTGTACTTTCTCCTGAAGCATCCTTCCAAATAGAAAAGCTGAAGGCACCACTGTCTACTAGCTAGCTAGTAGCTAGAGTAGCAAATACGTGTATAGGGACAGACAAGCGTACTCTACTAGCTAGTACCATAGTACCAGTAGCAGGAGAGTTATTATAGCTGTTATTATTATTATTCTGCCCTTCCAAAATAATTCACGAGACGATCTTGCTGATCTTGGAAGCTCTTGGAAGAAGATTGTCTTCGGCGGACTGGCAGAAACTGCTCGTCAGATCGGACTTCTCCGATGAAAACTGAAAACTGGAGAAGCTAAAGTAAAAGTGTAGCCGCCTGAGTAGCTACAGCAGGGGGATGGAGAAAATCAATGCCAACCCATGCCAACCACTGCGTTCAGTCATGGGATAACTGTCAACCACTGTTTCAAGAAACAACGGTGTTTTTCAACATGGCCAACCACTGTCTTACCACTGTTTACGACTATCTTTACCACCTTTTTGGCACATGTTACGACTACTTACCACTTTCAAAAAGATAGTGGTTGACATTGCCACTGTCTACCACTGTCTTGGTCATGGTTTACCTTGGTTGACATTGGATGGCACTGGATTTCTCCACCCCCCAGCTGTAGAGCTACTCTGAGTAAAATTTAATGCTCCCGATCCCATACGCACGCTCCTCAAAGCATCTGGAAAAGAACAAAGCACGCTGTACCAGCTCTGTACCACACACCACACATACACACGCAATGTAAACGTCAGTATCGGCCTGCAGCTTTCACTGGTATAAGCGAAGGCATTTACTCCCCAAGTCGTGTCTGTGTCAGCCCTGCATCTTACTGTTCGCCGGGTTGTACTAGCTAGTGCTACTCGAGTACTAAACTTCAGTTTGTAAAGGCCACATCGAACCTCAGCCGAACATCAGATTCTATCAATCCATATGCTAAGAATCTGCACTCCTCACTCTTGCTTAAGATAAGTGGGTTTAAGCTACTAGTCAATCGAAGCTATTATGCGGGGAGTGAAGGAAGCTAGTACCCATTATCTTCCACATCACCATCTACATCCAAGTCCCCCATACCCATCTTCATACCGGTACGATTTCAGCAAACAGTGAGATCCCCATCTTGGGGTGCCTCCTCTGCCACAGCATCTTTTGGTTTCATCAATTTTGGCTTTGCACCTTTGCCTTCTTGGGCTTTGGTGGTGGCTCCTCACTGTCCGAGGGCATGGTTAGTAGCAGGGTATGTGACAATAGCTGCTAGTGGCTATTAGACATGAAAGATACTGAGATTGGGCTGCTGCTAAGGTAAGACTCTATCAGTGTGGCTGTTGCTGAATCCTTGAAGATACTTTCAGTACTGAACTAAGAATATAGTTATCTTATGAATGAGGTAGAATGCTGAGATTGTGAAACTATCGAAAGCCAGTTAAAGCGATGCATCCACTGCCCTTTCCGATTGGTGCGCTCAAGCTTCCTTGAGATGAGGTGCAGACGACGACCTTGAGTTTCCAGCGCAGCTTGACTGTTTGCGCGAGGATGAAAGAGAAAGGAAGTGTTCCATATCCCATAATCCACTAAAACGACCACAGAAGCACAAGCCTTTTCACAATGATCAATCAAAATGATGGTCAATCCAACAAGAGGAGGCGCACTGAGGGGAAGGAAGATGCAGACGATGAAGTCGAAGTCTTCGCAGGGCAAAGGAGGTTCTCGGCGAATCGGTTACCCTTTCACGATTCTCTGGCCCAGTTTGGTAAGCGAGTGCAGTTTGTTGGCCCTGCTGCTCCCCTGCAAGGTGCAGTTTGTCGCCACCTTGTGTTTCTTTGTCGGACATCAAGGAGGCTAGGTTCTAGATGATTGCTATAAGCTAATCTTGTTTCTTCTTGATCTCTGGCGTGCCTTTTCAGGGTCTCCTTCTGTGCCCATGCATGGTGGTGACCAATCTGTGAACCAAAATCAAATATTGCAAGGATCCCTAGCTTTCCCTTCAAACATCGCCACGGAGGCTTTGCTTTCTGCTGGAAACTATCCGCTAGTAAATCCAAACTCCGCCGCGTTACGAGGCATCTCCATGCCTGCACGCAGAAGCACGGAGCCCTACGTTCCAGCCTTCCTTGGAGGTACAGGCACCCCAGCTTCGATGCCAAATCTGGGTTTTCTGGATCCCTCTTTGCCTGCTCAAGCAGCTCAAGCAGGCATGTTTGGACAGCAGGGATTCCTGTCAACTTCGGGCCAGGGTTCGGCTCCAGCACAAGTCCAAGCTCAAGCACATGCTCAAGCTCAGGCTCAAGCTCAGGCTCAAGCTCAAGCTCAAGCTCAGGTCCAAGCTCAAGCTCAAGCCCAAGCTCAAGCTCAGGCCCAAGTCCAGATGCAAGCTCAGATGCAACTTCAAGCCCATGCACAGGTACAAGCCAGGGCTGCTGCATTGAATTCCACCGCCGCTCAGCAAGGACTCCGGATGCAGTCTCAAACAGCTTTCCGTGGAGCAAACACTCAGGCCTCACAAATCCCAAACCTCCAAATCTCGATGGCAACTTCTCCCACATTTGCGATGCCAATGGAATCTCCGTTGTTTCAAGGACACGGCACGAGCAACATGCCAAACGAGTCTTCGACAAAGCACAGCACCTCGGCGGTTTCAGCGGCATCCGTGGCAGGCGCGGCCACGGCTCCGTCAGCTGTAACTGGCGATGGCGACATGACAGGTCGGGCTCCAGTGATCTTGTACATGCCATGTGACGATGCGGTGATCTCCCGCTACCAGTGTTTGGCACGCAAGCAAATGGAAGTATTTGAAGCTCAAGAGATTGATGTGGAAGCGGGAGCTCAGGGCCGGAATAAAGGCATCGTTTTGGGTCAAGTGGGAATCCGGTACGCGTTTGAATGGTTTGGTGTTCTATATATGACCCTCCATGCTTTTCTGCTCACCGTTTGTGTTTCTCGTCCGGATTCTGCAAATAAATTGAGTCCAGGTGTATCCACTGTCGGCATTTGTACCCAAGGCGACGCACAAAATCATCCACGTTCTACCCATCGAAACTGAAGAGTATTTACCAAACGGCACAGAACATGGCCAACACACACTTGACACAAACCTGCCAATACATCCCCAAGCCGATCCGCGATGAATTGCAAAAGTTGTCCCAAGACAAAAAGACATCCGCTGGAGGTGGGAAGGAGTACTGGAGTGATGGTGCCAGGATCCTCGGGGTGTATGAGACTGAATCATATCTGCGCTTCAAGAAGACCAACGACTATCCGGGATCACGAAGACCATCAGATGGGAGCAAAGCTGGTCAGTTGTAAGAACTCTTTAACCTTCTGCTTGTCACCTACTAATAGCAAAGCATGGTTGCTTGCTCTTGTTGGAAGATAGTACTGCGGAGCATAGGGTGTGGGAAGCACGTATCGGTGCCAGTTCAGTCGTACGGTATGACTGTACAGTCGTACCAGTACAACGTTTGGCTTGAATGATCGAGCATTCGATCGAATGATCGACTGACTCATCCGATTCGATTCGATTCGATTCGAAAAGTGGTTGTGGAAGCAAGACGAATCGAATCAACCATTTTCTTAAAACCAGGTAGAAAAGTGGATTCCACTTTTAGGTCCAGTAGAGCTACTAGACTATAGCAAGATCATGTCAATATGGGTCTATAGAGGTTGTAAACCTCCCCTCCAGACTAGGATCCAGGCAAAGGCAATGGCCCTGGTTATACCAGAGAGGCCTGCTGCATGTATCACAGACAGACCTACTTCCATCCAATTTACCCTCCGTCGGAGCCAGACCCTCATGACTGACCATAGATATAATCCCCCGTGTCGGCCGGCCAAGCCGGCCAATTACGCCGCCGACTGCCAGGGAGGTGGCAAGCTTTGCGTGTTGCTGTTGTTGTTGCTGTTGTTGTTGTTGCTGCGTTTTTTATGTCCCGACCCGGCTGTAGAGTTACCTGCTTTGATCAAGCGGAAGCCGGTGTCGGTCTTGTATACGTCGATGTGATACCCGCCGGGCACCTTGGGGTCCAGCTTGATATTCCGAGAAGATGCGCACATTGCGCCAGGTGGCTGGGATCCTTGGAGACTGGAGGTACCTTGCGTCCATTGTACTTGTCGTTCCGAGAGATGCCATGATGCGGGCTCCTCCCTTCTGCCACTCGCTGATGTATTGAAGGCGGCTAGATGTGTACCGAAGGCGCGTACATGTGTTGCTACGGGAGTCGTGGTTTGACCGCTGGATTGGCGTTGGGTTGAGGACGTGCGCCTCCCGTAGGTTTGCTTCCAGCTTCTCAACTTGGGCCAACTTCGTGCCTGATCGACTGAATCCGATCCGCGGCACAGGTCGTCTTGCAAGGTGTACCGAGTCTGAGATGATCTTGGACCTGTTCGGTGAGGTAGTTCCAAGTCGTCACAGGTTCGTACCATGATCTCTGAGTCGCTCATGTGGACTAGTGCTGGTGTGTTGTGGAGATCGATATGCAGTTGTAGTTGGTCCGTTTGTGGTAAAGTGAGGACCTGCACTTGGTGTGACCGTAAGATTTGAATGGTCCGATTGAGATCCGACAACGAACGCAGAGCTGCCAGGATAACGGCGCGGAGCTGGTGGTGTCCTTAAGGTAAACCTATGTTTTGGAGATGCGCCGCCGCGTACGCTGCACGGTGAGTTCTTTCGCTGATGTCGCCATAAATTTACGCCGCGACACTGATCAATTGCCCGATGATTTTTTTCTGCGTTCTTCAGAACTCAAGTGACTGACGCTGTTGGGATCCACCTTGCGAATCTTCATCCCCAGGTTTCGGTGTGATTCCCATTACGTCGGAAACGAATCGAGATGACATGTGCAATCGATAATATCCATTCGCTTGCCGTAGTCTGAGATGGGTGCTGGTTTACTTTGTTTTGCTTTGTTGACAAAATGGGATCCCATCGAAAACCCCTCCCAGTGATGTCTTCCTCATACCGAAACACTTTCGTTGAGATGATGGAGTCTGATGGGGTAGAGCAGGTTGGCAACGGTAGTCTTCACGTGGTGAGCAGTAGTTGATGTTGGTGCTCACAAAAAAATGTCGAAGCAGCCACACGTGGAGTTGTTGATCGAAGACAAAGTTGATTTTCTAGCTGAAGTTGTTGGAGCTGCGTTTCTCGCCAGTCTGTCCCCTGAAGAAATTTCCACCATGAAGGTTGCGCAGCCTCCTACTGAAGATGCCGCTCCTGAAGGCTTCCGCCGCCCCTTCGGGCAACAGTTCTACGGCCGTCTCTGATAGCTCCAACCTCGAGGAGATGGACGAGGAAGACGCCGACGATGATGACAACCCGCCGCCGGTTCCATCCCTATGAGGAGTCCGAATGATGAAGAGAAGAGGAGGATGAAGATGGCTCTGACGAGGACTTCGAGGAGGAGGCGTCGGACGAAGACGATGAGCCCGTGGTGGTGGGCGTGAAGTCTCCTCCCCAGCTGTTCAAATTCCCGTCCGTCGGGCCACCGCGGTGTCATCGGTTTTGACGTCTCCAGCTGTTACTGCCGCAGCTGGGCTGGCTCCTCGCACGGTGCAGACGGCTCGTCGCCGTGGGGATCAGCTTCCCCCCCAGGTTCCCTTGTTACAGTCGCTGCCTCCTGCGACCATCTCGACTCCAGAGGGTCCCACGCCAGGAACCTCGAACGTGGCAGGCCCCACTCCTGGTGTCCCCGTGGCCGCTGCTGCTCCGCGCAAGGCCCAGAGCGGTTCGACCAAGAAAAAGGCGAAGCTGGTGTGTAAAGCTCAGTCGGGAGGTAAGAAAGTGAAGGCCCCCAAGGCCAAGTCCGCTCCCAAAGGGGTAAACGTGGTAGTGCCCGTCCCCCTCAAGCCTGCCGCTAAGCCCAAGGCTGCCCCCACGTCCGTGGGTCCGGCTGCTTGGCAGCCCAAGTCTTCGCCTCCTGTTCGTGGGTGTGGCTTCCCGGTTCCCCCCACTGCGATGGCCCGTCAAGTGGATCCTGTCAACAATCCTCGTGTCGAGCTCATGGGTGGTGCCATCATCCGCGTCCCGAAACCCCCTTTGGATTTGGAGGTGCAGATTCAGCCCGCCATGGACCGTTCCTGGAAAATCCAGTTGGGCAGCGCGCAGGCGGCCGAGGCCAACTTCCTAAACAGCCGCGACACTCATGCCACCACGTATGCCCCTGGCCAGCGTTGCTTGACAGACCCGGCCTTGAACTTTTCCTTCCACAATCATCGAGGTGGAGCGACGTACGAACGTCGGGTTGCGGAGCACAAGCGTGGGGAGGTGAGGTCTTTGGCCATCCATTTTTGCGACGCGCACCATCGTCAGCTCCCCGCTCGTCGTGACGCTTTGGTTCAAGCACACGTGCTTTTATTTTTTTTGTTTATTTTCATTTTTTTTTTTATTTTTTATATTTTTATTATTTTCATCCAATTGTTTATCAGCTAATTGGATTGTTCAGAACGCAATAAGGAGAGGAAGGGACACCGACAAGAGGCACGTCACCCCGAAAAGGATCAGATTTATTTTAATTTTTCTTTTTTTTTTTTTTTTTTTTTTTTTTGAATTGGGTTTGGACCCAGCCATGGCCGCGGCTGCGGCCGAGCAGTTCATGTCGGTTCAGGCTGGCATCACCTCCGACAAGAGAAAAAAAAACAGTTTTTACCCGACGCCTTGGAGGTGTTGCAGGATCGCTGGAGCGGAGCGCGAGGCAAAGAGGCGTCCACTGGGCGCCCCTTCCATGCGCCGGCGGTCCGGGCTCACCGTGACCGTTCTTCGGAGACCGCCCGTCGGGGTGTTCGTCGTCGGGGGCAGGTCCAGAAGGCGAAGGAGGCGGAGGGAGCTTCGAAGCCCCAAGGAGGGGTGGCCG